ATTATCGTCGCATAATGCCTCCTAATGATCCGCATAAACTAAATTATTATTGTCAATTTTATGATCAACAAAATCAGGCTTCAATATTTGCCGATACCGCTTCCAGTAAGAAACGTGAAGAAGTTTCCAAAAAACTACGCAAAGAATTGGAAGAGAAAAAACTAAAACAAACGGAAATGTTAAGACGCAAAGTTGGTGCCCTAAGATTTGAAGATCGTCAAAGGAAAAGATCCAATATACCAAGAGTTTTGGCAGAAAAACAAAGACTAGCATTAATGCGTTCACAAGCTCATTGGACGCCTGGATTTATATCGGCTGCCGAGGAACGTCTACGTTCAACTTATATGCAAATGAGAAGTGATATTTTGAAAGAGTTAAAAATTACCGAAATGGCATGTTCTTATAGAGAGGTTCGATAAAAATTTATGATTATAATAATGATTTTCTTATAGATTTATACAATTCTTTATAATGCTGGTGATTTAACGAAATCTGATATTGTAAAATTTCCTCATCTATATCGTAGTCTAGAAGGTGGTACCAAAATCTAAATGAACTTTGTGGAAGTTATATTATATTTTTATTGTTTATCTGTAATGTATACAATATTTTGGAAACCTTTAAAGTACTCACGTTAATATGTATATTTTAATAATTATCTGATCTTTAATTTAAACAAATTCTTAGTTTTAGTTGACCTTTGTTGAGGACTTTGGAACCTTTCTATTTTATATAAAATTTCTTAGCCTTTTTTCAGATACAATAAGTCATTGTTAAATGTGTTTTATACTGAGGGATTTCATATTTAAGATTGAATTCGATGTTCTTTTTCTTAGGATCTCGAATATCCTTTTTATATTGTCCGAAAAAGCTGGATAAGTTTTGTTGTGAACGTTAATGGATTCGTTCTATGTATGTTATGGTAGCCAGATATTGGGGGATTTTGACACCATGGTGACATCTGTGGGAGCCTTCAGAAAGCTTGACAAGATGTAGAGTAAAAAGCATCGGCGAGAGTACTCCTTCTTGTGGTACGTTCGTTTTAATCTTGCGGTATTTACCGTATCAAATGGTTTGGATAAATCTAGTGTGGCTATAATGTTTGTTGTTGTAGCAGTGATATGTGTAAAGTCGGTGTGGATGAGTTGACAATCCCTGGTCGTTGTTCGTTGAACTCCGGGTCGTTCTGGAAAAGCTGTGCGTTTCTCAGAATCCATGCTGGTGTGCGGCGAGCTTGAAATGCTTTTACAGAGTTAGTTACTAAAGGATTTGTCTAATTTTAGAATGGGGATATTCTGAGCCACTTTCCAGATAATAGGAATCACTAATTGGTGAATCGTGACTTCCTGAAGATCAGTGGAATTATTCAGACCTACTACACCGAATTCCTTTAGCATTACCATAGATATGCCATTCGAACCCAGAGCTTTTGAAAGTTTCAACTTGGACTGTTCACAACTTCACGAGAGGTGAAGGAGTATGGCAGGACGGGACGTGATCCGTGTTTAGTGCTGTTTCGGATTGCAAGTAGCAACATACAGACGATGGAATTGATTGGAGAGTTGGAACATCTAGCAGTTATTCTCGTAGAGTAGTCTTCATTGATTACAGTGCAGTCCGCTTCGTCTATCAGGTCTGATATTGAAATACCGCGTGGATCGTTTGTTGCCTGTGAGTAATTACTCCTATGATTAGCATTGGTATCACTAGCCACAATACCGTTCATGGCCTGGATATACACATTGACGATATCTAATTTAATAACTCCAGTATTCATTGAGATGCTCATAACTTCATGGAAGTGGTTAGCGGATGGTATTGGCACTTCGCTTTCTCTCCAAATGATGTTGTAATAACTGGAAGCGGAGAGACTACATTTGAATAATGTTCTTGCCAGGGGCTGCTGTAAGTGGGGAAGATGCAGAGATGTTGCACACATACAGATGTATGGTATGTCTGGGTGGCAGCTATCACTGGGGGGACTATTTATACAACAGGCATTTAGTCTTTGAGCGACCGCAAATCTGTGCATGTTTTCAAGTGGCATTAGTTTTTATAGTTATTGCTTTGAATTGATGTTATATTCCTTCTGGCAAACAGAACATATCCATTGTACAGAACAGGACTGCTTGCGGTGCTGAATTTTGGACAATATTTTGTACGGGGGATAGAGTTTGAACACGAGATTGTGGGATATTATGGGGCTAGTGCTGGGGTTCTGAGACATTTTCATACAAAACTGGGGTACCATTCGCGGTGGCTAGTGCAACCTGAGTGCTATTTCAGGCTACACCAGTTATTACAAACGGTGCATTGGACTGAGGTGATGTTATACCTGTCGTAACAGAATAAACAAAATCAGATACTGGGACCTGGATTAAAACCAATATATTCTGCTCACCTGAAAAAAAAACTTTCAGTTTGTACAGCTGTCGCTTAGTTGACAATCTTTGGCCGAGTATGATTCGGGTCATTCCGGAACAGAGGTCCAATTGTTGCGGGAAGGTGATACAGGTGTTAAAAAGTTTTAGCAGCTAAGACGTATCTATATAAAAGCATCTGTCCAGCAGTTGAAACTGTTATGACATTGTTTTTAAGACTTTCTGGAGTTAATTGAAAATTAGTGGTCTCCATACTATTTACAAATAAAAACAGTTGCAGTTTAATTTTTTTTGTAATTTTTTTTTTATTTAATTATAAATAACTTATAGTTTTATAATTATTATGATTTAATATTATATATATAGATTTTATTATCTTCATAATCATTATTATTTTATTTATTTATAGTAATAATATAATTAATATTATTAAATTTTTTATATAATTACTGTATAAGTATTATATATAATAATTTTTTGTTATTAGTATTTTGTTTTTCTTTTGCTTTATATTAATTGATCAATAATATTACGGCATAAACAGTAAATTTAATTATTTATTTTTTGTATTTTTTTTAATATATTTATTTTCATTTGTTTTTATTTGCATTTTGTATGTATGTATTTATATGATATATAACATTAAAAACGATTTGTTTATATATATAAAAAAATTATGATAAAATTAATAAAAAAATAATAATAATATAAACTTAAAACAAATTAATTAAAAAATAATGACATTAAGCTTAAGAAAATAAAATTCATAGAAACAAATTACACTCGAACAGGATGTTGTTAGTTTTTAGTACCGTAAACAAGAAGCAAACTACACACAAATTAAAATTAAAACAATTTAATTTAAAACAAAATATTATTTTATGTTTTTTTATTTAGTTTTGTTTTTGTTGTTTTTAAAAATAAAGAACTCTCTCCTTTAGTTTTAGATACAATTGTTTTTTGTTTTTTGTTTATGTTTTTTGCATTTGTTTTCTAATTACAAATATAGAGTTTAAGTTGTATTTTTTTAGGTTTGTTTTTTTGTTGTTGTTGTTTTAAGTTTAATTAAAGTACATTTATGTATATTTTATTATAATTATATTATTATTATTTACTTAATTGTTGTTCTAAATATAAATTCAATGTTAAGTTGTGTTTTGTTTAAAAAATATTTATAGGTTTTTTTTTGTTTTTCTTCTTTAAATTTTTAATTATTTATTTTAATACACAATGCTATTATTATTATTAATTGTTTTAAGTATTCCATGTTTTTTCTGTTTAAGATTAAACTGTGTCATTTATTTTATAGAGAGAGAGAGAGGAGTAGGGAGAGAGAGTGTGGTGTATTTGTGGGTATAAGTGGTCACTAGAGCACTTATGAAAAATTCTGTACTATTGTACGTTTTTAGTAAATTTTCCAAACTTTTGTTCATAATAAGATTGTCAACAGACTAGTACATAGACTAGTCAATAGTTTAGTGCATGGATTAGTCAATCGACTATTCTATATACTAGTCAATAGGCTGGTCCATAGACTAGTCAACACACTAGTCCATTGACTTACCAACTGACTCAATAGACATTAAACTAGTAAATCGACTTCCCAATAAACTGTTCAATAGGCTAGTCTATAGACTAGTCCATAGTTTAGTCAAAAGACTAGTTAATTGACCTGTCTAGCTAATAGACTAGTCTACAGGCTAGCCATTAGACTAGTCAATAGGCAAGTCAACAGACTAGTCCATAGACAAGTAAAGAAAGCTGTCAATAGACTAGTTCATACACTTGTCCTCAGACTAGCCAAAAGTATTGTCCATAGACCTGTCCACATACTAGTCAACAGTCGGGTCCGTAGACTAGTCAACACAATAGTCCATTAAACAATAGACTAGTAAATAGACAAGTCAATACTCTAATCGACAGACTAGACAATAAACTAGTCAATAGATTAGTCAAAAGACTAGTGCACAGGCTAGTCAAAAGATTAATCAAAAGACTAGTGCACAGGCTAGTCAAAAGATTAATCAAAAGACTAGTGCACAGGCTAGTCAATAGACTTGACTAGTCTACAGTCTAGCCAATAGGCTAATCAATAGGCCAATCCATAGACTAGTCAAGAGACTAGTCCATAAACTAGTCAACAGACTAATCAACAAAGTAGTCCACAGACAAGTAAATAAAGTAGTCAATAGTCCAGTCTATAGACTTGCCAACAGTCTAGTTCACATGCAAGTCTATAGGCTAGTCCTAAACTAGTCAACAGACTAATCCATAGACTAATATATAGACTAATCAACAAACTAGTCCACTGGCAAGTAAAGAAAACTGTCCATAGACTAGTTCATATACTTGTCCACAGTCCAGTCAATAGACTTGTACACAGACTAGTCCATAGACCTGTCAATAAGCTAGTCCATATACTAGTCAAAAGACTACTCTAAAGACTTTGACATGTAATTCAGTACTTTTAATACACATTAAAAAGTACTATTTTTGGAGAAATTTACTATTTTAATTCCCATGACTGCACTAGAGTTTTTGTACAAAATTTTGAAAATTATATTAAAAAAATAACGATTAAAGTAAACTTAATATGAAGACTAAACAAACGAAAAAAAATTTACATTAAAATAAGTTTTTTACAAATTTTGTGTTTTGTTTTTTTTTTTTAATATTTTTTACTTTAAAGACATGTTTTTTTGCTTAGAGGAAAGTGTGTTTTAGAGTATATGTTAATAAAAGTTGGCTATTAAAAAAAAAGTTTTATTTAATTCAAAACCTGGCTAAGAAATGCTTAAGATGTAGAAAAATTAGATTACAAAAGATAAGAAAATATAAACAACCTTATTTTTTTGTATATAAATTATAAATTTTGTTTTAACGAATTTACAGCAAAAACTTTAAAAATTAAACACTAATTATGTTAAAAATTAAAAAAATTAAATGTTTTCAAAACACTTTCATAAGAAATGAGCATTTTTAAAAAAAAAAATAGCAAAAGTTTGCTTAAAATTTCGTTTATAGCTACAGTTTGTTTTAAATTTTGTTTCAACTATTTTTTGTTTTCTATACATTTATGGCGACAGAGTGAATAATAGAGAGAGAGAGAGAGAGTGAGAGTGATAATGTTAGCAAGTGATTGTTTGTGTTGATGTGATGATGAAATGGTTGAATGTTTAAGACTTAAAAAAAAGAAAATAATATGTTTTGTTTTGTTAATGAGTACTTAATATTGTTGTTGTTTTTGTTTTTAATTAATTCTTAAACATTTTACAAATTGTTTTAAGTTTTATTTTTATTTACTTTCAATTGCTTAACTTTTTAATTTTTAATTATTAATATTTTCTGTTTTTCTTTTCTTCATTTAATGTCAAAAATTACTATACAATTTTCTTCATCTTCGTCTAATCAAATGTTCAATTATTATTATTATTATTAACCATTCTTATTTGCATTTTCCTAAAAAGTTTATAATTATTGAAGAATGACTTTGATGATGTTGTTGTTTTTGTTGTTTTAATGCTGTTTTTTTCTCATATTTTCAACATTTTTCGTTTGTATCTGTGCTTTTTAATTGGTGGTGCTGTTGGTTGTTGTTGTTGTTTTCAATCGTTGTTGTTATAAACTAAGTATTTTTAATACAGTTTGTTTTTGTTTTTAATTTTCATTTGTTTAAATATATTTGTTTTATTTTTGTTAATTTTATACAATCAGAAGAGGCAGTCCTTTTAGTTGCTTATGTACTGCGACAGGGAGGAGAGTTGTTTACACTTAAATTTTTCTTTTAATTTAAATTTTATGTTCAAAAAAAGTTTTTTTTTTGTTTTCGTTAATTATCACTCATTGTCTTGTTCTAAACAACCAAAACATTGCATTAGTAAAGTTCGTTGCATTGTCAACTGTGTGTGTGTGTGACCATTTGTTTTTTTAACATTTAAATTTGACCATTGGTATATGTTTGGTGGATAAACACTTGTCACAGCACCATTCAGCATAAACTTCTTTTGTTAGCATTTTAAAAGCGGCCTCCGTTAAACCAACACAAGTTCTGGAAAATAGAAAATTAAAGTTTTCTTGTTATTAGTTTAGTTGGAGGACATTTGGCGGAATTTTCGCTGGAGATATTAAAATTACGAGAATTTATGTATATTACCAACTAGTATTACTGGAGATTTATTCTGCAAATTACAAATGGATCTCGAAAAAAAAAAGAAATTATCGAAAAGACAGAGTATTATCTTATATATCCTTTTCAGGTTACAATTTCTTTGAAGGTTCCAATTTCTGTACATAATTGTTTTAGATATGTGTAAAATCCCCAAAAGCTCCCTTTTTGAAATAATAAAAGAGTAATGTTTCTTCGTAAACGATAAATTCAAGAACTTCGTCACCTGATAAAACAAAATTTCAAATACATGTTCTAAGATTCGTGAGTTTTCCTATAATGTTTTAAATTTGTCCTATAAATGGCGCCTGAGTTTAATCTTCCGTCTATTACACCCTAAACCGCTAAACCGAAAACTTAACTAAGATCTTTACATCGAGAGAATTAATAACATAAAAAAGGATAACGCGGACCGTGTTCAGCTAGTTGTTGAATATATTTAGAACATTTTTTCCAAATACTATCTCTTAAAGTCTCCTAAATAGCTCTCTTTTGATATGCATGTTGCCAGCATCCAGTCAAGTCAAGGTTGATCCGAACTTTAGGCTAATATATGTATCTCAATAAAGGAAGAAGATATTACAGAGGTAAATTCATTATTTTAAAGCCTACCTATTGAACATTTTTATAATGTCTCATATATGTTAAAAAGCGTGATATTTTTAAACTTTATGACACTATAACTTAAAAAACTGATGCAATGGCTAAATTCTGAAGACAGTTTCAGACCCTGAGCCTTTGTTAAAATGTGGTAATCCACTCTACTATGGTGATGTTTGGAACGTCTATATGTGGACACAATAGCAGGTTAAAAATCGTCTTTTTTGTAATAAAATTTTAATGATTTGTTAGTAAATAATGTTATCGTTCATTTCTATTCATTGATTCTAGCGCTTTAATAAAACATTAAATCCAATTAGAAACATGTCAAAACTACACCATCAACTTTAAACAATTTAAAAATCTACATACATTTTGAAGATGTAAAATACATACATACAGTAATGCAATAAAAGAAAAGTTTGCCAATAGTTAGAGGTTTTTGCAAAATTTATGTTTTATTGCCAAATTGTATGAGACATATGAGAGTTTATTTAGTAATAAATGCGTCTTAGTTGTTACTTAGTATATAATTTTAGAGTTAATTTTTTTTTTCAATAATTTAAATGCTGGATGGGAGTGTGTGTGTTTTGCGATTTATAGAGGATTGAGTGATTGAGTATTTTTGCTAATAAATCGAAAAACTTACCTATGAAAAAAGAATTACAACCAGATTCGCCAAAATACAGCTTCGTCGTTATCATTGACTTCTTTGTGGCACATGCCGCATGGATATATTGGAGGTGCGTTGGGATTTTGTGGATTGAAAACCATCGGTTGACCAGGAGGATACATTTTGCCCGCACCCATTGTCATTGGCTTGGGTGGGCCACCCGGTCCCATTGGACCACCCATTGGTCCGCCCATAGGACCCATTGGACCACCGGGACCTGGACCGCCAACATACCAGGAGGTGGACCTCCACCCATTGGATTGTGATGAGGATGATGAGGTGGCATACCGCCGTGAGGACCACCATGTGGACCGCCGTGTGGGCCACCATGAGGACTGCCATGTGGACCACCATGAGGACCACCATGTGGACCGCCGTGTGGTCCACCATGAGGACCACCATGAGGGCCGCCATGAGGACCACCATGAGGACCGCCATGAGGACCATGTGGTCCGTGAGGATGAGGGGACCATTCATGCCCCCAGGTCCCATACCAGGACCCATATTACCCATATGTGAATTAGGACCAGGTCCCATGTGATGTGGACCGCCGCTCATCATGTGATGAGGTCCACCCATGTGATTTGGTGGTCCTCCGCCCATGCCCATTTGAGGGCCCATGCCGCCGCCAGGACCGTGCATCATGTGAGGTGAAGGCATACCTCCCGGACCGCCGTGATGATTCATGAGTTGTGAGTGTTGCGGTCCACCCAGGTGTGGCGATGGCTGCTGGGGAGGTAACATCTGATTGGGGCCACCCATACCCATTGAGTTTAGGACCATTGCCGCCGGAGCCGCCACTGCCCATGGGCATGTTTGCGTGCGGTGACTGTTGCGGTTGCTGCATAGGAACATTAGGATTCATTTGTTGTTGCATCGGTCCACCACTTCCACCACCGCCCATATTTAGACCATTATTGTTGTTGCTGTTGTTGGGTCCACCCATTGCGGGTCCTCCCATAGGCCCGTTATTACTATGAGGACTAGCACCACCCATATTATTCATGGGATTATTACCACCTGTATTACTGTTGTTGTTGCTGCTGTTCGAATTCGGATGACCAGGTAAAGCTGGAGAGGCCAGGGGACTGGGTCCATGACCGCTCATATTGTTCATGCCAACGGGGCCAGGACTAGGTCCAGGCCCACTCCCACTCATTTGATGATGTGGAGACATCGCCATAGGTCCGTTGCCTGGCGCTGGCGAAGTTGTAGGCACTGACGTTGACGCAGTGGACGTCGTTGTCGCTGAGCTTGATGAGGAGGACGTACAGGAAGATGAAGTCGGCAGGGGTCCATTCATACTGGATGACGGTGATTGTGGTATACCATGTCGTGCCGCAGGGGAAAGCATTGGATTTTGATTGTTGTTATTGTTGCTGTTGTTGGGGTTATTGCTATTGCCACTTGTGTTTGAGGCCATACTGTGAGCAGGAGAGATACCACCTTGATTTGGACCCATGCCTGGGGGCCTGTAGCTGTCCACCGGGTCCAGGGCCAGGTCCTGGACCTCCAGACATATGGTTCTGCTGCGACGGTCCATTTCCAAGTGGACTGTGCATGGGAGGTGGGCCCATTTGGCCGTTATTCATGTGAGGCGGAGGATGTTGAGACTGATTTTGCGGATGAGGACCTTGTTGAGACGTTGGCGGTCCCAGAGGACTGCCGATAGCGCCGCTCATTGGTGAACCCATTGGCAGTGAATTCATAGGTGAGCCCTGGCCAGGACCAGGTCCACCTGGGCCTCCTGGCATTGGCGAACCCATGCCACGAGGACCATTCGATCCTGGCCCTCCCATAGGTGAGAGTCCACCCATGCCCATGTGGTGCGGTGATATGCTGGGACCACCCATACCTCCCATGGGACTCATGCCACCCATCGAAGCCATTCCACCCATAGGACTACCCATCGGTGGACCGCCTGGTCGACCGTGATTCATATGTGGAGGCAGACCAACTCCTGGTCCCATAGGATGGCCGGGACCTGGACCACCCATGGGGCTGCCCATACCCATCGGACTCATACCGCGCATCGGAGGTCCGCCCATGGGATGATGTGGATGTGGTGGACCGCCTGGATGATGAGGGTGCATATGGGGATGCATGTGCGGAGGGGGACCGTGAGGACCACCCATGCCCATATGAGGGCCCGGACCGGGACCAAAGTGTCCTGGAGGGCCTCCCATGTGACTCATTGCGGACATCGAACTAGACATGCTGGGCGGGTGTGTCGTCAAACGGATTAGAAGCCACTATCGTATCGCCATAGCCCCCCATTGGTGGTGGAGGCAGCAGATCCTGTGGTGTGGGAGGTGCTTGTGATTGCTGCATAGAGTTGGCAGCAGCGGCTGCAGCTGCTGCGGCCGCCGCCACTGCAGCTGCTGAGTTGGCATTCGATGTCTTTCGCCGTTTTTTCGGATTACTCGGCGCCGAGATTATATCCGATGATGGAGGTGGTGGTTTAAAATCGGGTGGCATTATACCTCCCGCTGGACCCGGCCAAACGATATGCGCCATACCGATATTGTGGGTCATGTTGTTTGTATTTTTCTTCCGAATGGTGGCAGCTTTTATTTAACGTGGCCGGGAAGAAACAATATTTATAAAGGCCTGCTATCAAGGGCAGGCGATAAAAATGTGGTGTGGTATTCACTGTTTCCTGACCAGAGTGCAGCTGACCCAAATGTTTTGTTTTACTCTTTTGTTTAAAAAAGTTTAATTGATTATCGTTGTTTTCTGGATATTAGTACACTATAAAGTTTTCAATGAATTCATTGTCCAATTTAAGATTTTAATCTGGAATGAACAAGAACATTTATATAAAATTTTTCTTTAAATTTCCAATTCTACAGAAACTAGGTACTTACGGTATTAGTATAGAATTCTTATATTGCTGCTAATAGTGAATTGATTCGATTATGAAGCCATCGTTGTGGCTTTTGGCAAAGAGTTTAACATTTTCTGCAGAAGCACCTTTTGGGGGGTAGCTAAGCACCAAATAATGGTGCTTGAGCACCTTTTCTTCTTCTTCCCTTTTGCTCTTTTAACAAGATTTAAGTATTTTATGGTTTTCTTCTTTATTTCCAAAAAATATATATTTTATGGAGAGTTCTATGCTGGTTTATTGCATCAATTGCACAAACAACAAGAACTCTATTTTCTTTTTATTAGTTTTTCTTTATATTTTTTGTATTATTGGTAAATGCTTTTATTCTTTTTCTTTTATTTTTTCGCCACTAATGTATGCTGCTGCTTGTGCTGCTTCTTGTTCACAAGTTTTTTTTTGTTCTTTTTTGCACCACCGCTCACTTTCTTTGACGATGAATATTTTTTCTCGATGAATTTATTCCTTTACTTTTTTTGCAATATTTGTTTGTTTCTTACAGATATTTTGTTAAAATGACTGAATATGAATATGTTAGTAAATTAATGAAAGCATGGATATTGTGAATTTTTAACCAATTTATGGTACTGCAATTTTTTTCTTGATCAAATAAGCCGTCGTTCCTGTGTCGTCAGTTTCGTTGCAAAAAAATTTTTACTACACTTTGAAAAGTTTATCATACCGCATTTCTACAAGTTTTCTAAGCATTTCTTTATGAAGTGTGTGTTTATTTGCAATTTGAGCGTGTATTATTTATATTTTGTTTGAGTTTATCGGAAAATTGTTTGAATTTTCACGAAAAATAATTAAAATTTTGTCAATTTTCTTCTTTTTTTACTTTTGATAATTCTTGTACACAAACACACGCCATTACAGGGTTGTATTTTCGTTGACTGACAAGCAAGAAAAAATTCCTGAAATACTTTTACAGTGTTGTATTGTTTGGCATAAAGTAGTAGAAATTGTCTGATACTTTTTCTACAACTATGTTTAAGCACGGCAGTAGTGATATTAGTTATGATAAATGAACGATAATATAACTGGGGTGTTATCGATTAAAAGGTATTGAATTTGAAATAGATAATTTTTGAAAATGATGAATATTTTATGTGTTTGAGAGATAAAGTTATGTAGCAAAGAGAGCAATTGAAAAAATTACAAGTTTTGATAAAAAATATCATTGTTAAAATATAAAATCACCTTGAATTTGTTATATCAACATATTCTTCCTAAAAGTATGCTGTTGTTTTTCTCATTTTCATTTTTAATGGTTGTGAAAAAATCTGTAAGTGAATGTTACGTTTCAGAGATGGAAGTTTAGAATTGATGTACATATTCCGTACTTTTTCACATGGGCTAGGCCCTGAACATTTCAATAGACTACTATATAGATTAGACAATAATAACCATTAATCAATCAGTAAACAAATCCATAGACAAGTCAATATAGTATTCAAAAGTAAACTAGTCCATAGATTAGACAATAGAGTAATGTATGGACATTAGTATAAAATATTTTAATAGACTAGTCCATTTACTTCTCAATACAATTACTCTATAGATTGGATAATACAAAAATACTATTGAATATATTTGTACGTAAACTATTCAATTGATTTGTTAATAGATTACTAATAAGACCAGTCTATAGAGTAGTCCATACTTTTGACTAGTGTATCAAATAAAACAGTATCAATATAGCGGTTTAAATCTTCATACCAAATAAAATCAATTCCAGTTTCCTAGTTACAAACATTAATACTAACATACATATCTTTTTCAATTTAATATTTAACAAGATCATTTTACCAGTAAATGTTTTGTTTTCCAAAGAGTTTTTTATTTTTAATCGCAACATAAACAATTGTCATGACAAGCGACCACTAACTTGACATTTACAAAATAAACGAAAAACAAAAACAACGGTTACCATATTTGAATATGTAAATGTCAATGTCCTTACGAAATCTATTTATGGTGAATACCCAACTATTGTGTACAATATCAAATTCATGTAACTGTATCAAATTTTAAGAAAAATAATAAAAACATAAAAAAGAAAATGATTTCCCATTAAATGTATGAATATTGTTTGAATTTTGTAGACAAAAAGTTGCAATGAAAAAACAAACTGAATTTAATTAGATCATTGTACAATAGAGAAGAAACACGTTACAAATCAATGTATGATTTTGGTATATAGTCGTTTATTTAATTTTTATAATTATTTAAACAGTTTATAAAGCTAAAATTAAAGCAAATTATTATACCATGATTTATTTCGTGTTATATGAACATATAAATTGAGATATTTACTTTTTTTTATATTTTTTATACAAATTACGTTTTGTCTTTTATAAAAAACCAATCAATTGAAAAGTGTTAACCAAATTTTTTTGTTAATATTAATAATTATAATAACATGCCAGTCAAAATCAACATATTATTAATGGGGGATTAATGTTTGAGCATTTCATTTTGTTTTCTTGTCCGAATGACTGACTGCATATTGTTTTATTTTCTTCATTTCTTTTTGAGCGCCCCCACGGACGAAATGTAGACTGACCCTCATGTCTTTATTTTGTTTATATAGTCTGTAATAAAACTATAAATATAGATTTTGATTTTTTTGTTTTCATTAAAAATATTTTAATTGTTTTCTTGTTTACCTGTGTTAAACTGTACGTTTGAGTGGATATTGAATATTCAGTAGAAAAAAGATAATAGATAAATATTTATGTGAACATAACCTCAAAGTAATTGTAATAGTCATTTATAATAATTAAATCAATAAATTAATTAACAAATTTACAAGAAAATAGCAATAGTGTTCTAACAAATTCAGAAAGAACGGGCGGAGGACGAGGGAAAAGGGGAAGCCAGAAGGAACGGAACGAACAAACGAACGAACGAACGAAACGAACGAACGAACGAACGAACAAAGAACGAAAACGAACGAACGAAACGAACGAACGAAGAACGAACGAACGAACGAACGAACGAACGAACGAACGAACGAACGAACGAACGAACGAACGAACGAACGAACGAAACGAACGAAACGAACGAACGAACGAACGAACGAAACGAACGAACGAACGAAGAACGAACGAACGAACGAACGAACGAACGAACGAACGAAAACGAACGAACGAACGAACGAACGACGAACGAACGAACGAACGAAGAACGAACGAAACGAACGAACGAACGAACGAACGAACGAACGAACAACGAACGAACGAACGAACGAACGAACGAACGAACGAACGAACGAACGAACGAACGAACGAAGAACGAACGAACGAACGAACGAACGAACGAACGAACGAACGAAAACGAAACGAAAAAGAACGAAACGAACGAACGAACGAACGAACGAAAACGAACGAACGAACGAAAAACGAACGAACGAACGAACGAACGAACGAACGAAACGAACGAACGAACAACGAACGAAAGAAACGAACGAACGAACGAACGAACGAACGAAGAACGAACGAAGAAGAACGAACGAACGAAACGAACGAAGAACGAACGAACGAACGAACGAACGAACGAACGAACGAACGAACGAACGAACGAACGAACGAACGAAACGAACGAACGAACTAACGAACGAACGAACGAACGAACGAACGAACGAACGAACGAACGAACGAACGAACGAACGAACGAACGAACGAACGAACGAACGAACGAACGAAAACGAACGAACGAAAACGAACGAACGAACGAACGAACGAACGAACGAAACGAACGAACGAAAACGAACGAACGAACGAACGAAACGAACGAACGAACGAACGAAACGAACGAACGAACGAACGAACGAACGAACACGAACGAACGAACGAACGAACGAACGAACGAACGAACGAACGAACGAACGAACGAACACGAACGAAAGAACGAACGAAACGAACGAACGAACGAACGACGAACGAACGAACGAACGAACGAACGAACGAACGAACGAACGAACGAACGAAGAAACGAACGAACGAACGAACGAAACGAACGAACGAACGAACGAACGAACGAACGAACGAAAGAACGAAAACGAACGAACGAACGAACGAACGAACGAACGAAGCGAACGAACGAACGACGAACGAACGAACGAATCGAAACGAACGAACGAAACCGAAAACGAACTAACGAACGAAGAACGAACGAACTAACGAACGAACGAACGAACGAAGAACGAACGAACGAACTAACGAACGAACGAACGAACGAACGAACGAAGACGAACGAACGAACGAACGAACGAACGAACGAACGAACGAACGAACGAACGAACGAACGAACGAAACGAACGAACGAACGAACGATACGAACGAACGAACGAACGAACGAACGAACGAACGAACGAACAAACGAACGAACGAACGAACGAACGAACGAACGAACGAACGAACGAACGAACGAACGAACGAACGAACGAACGAAACGAACGAACGAACGAACGAACGAACGAACGAACGAACGAACGAAACGAACGAACGAACGAACGAACGAACGAACGAACGAACTAACGAACGAACGAACGAACGAACGACGAACGAACGAACGAACGAACGAACGAACGAACGAACGAACGAACGAACGAACGAACGAACGAACGAACGAACGAACGAAGAACGAACGAACTAACGAACGAACGAACGAACGAACGAACGAACGAACGAACGAACTAACGAACGAACGAACGAACGAACGA